TGGTCTAGTGGTAAGACCACCTGCTTCAGACGCAGAGGTCCCGGGTTCGGTTTTTCAGATGATTTCTGTTCGGTTTGGTTGGTGGTAGGGCTTGTTCTAAGTCCGTCTGGCTAGCTACCACCATCTTACCAAAGTCTGTCGCCATAACAATGTTAACAGCATTGTTGTGTTCCGGCAGTTAGAGGTAAAATAGCCAGTTTCTCCATGGTTGAGGATTCCGGGCGAAGCTCGCTTCCACCTTCGGCCTGATCATCACTCACCATCAGGTGAGATACAGGCCAAGAGCTTCCTCGTTGTGGATAAAAAAAGGTAGTCCTTTTTGTACAATTTATTGTTTGACAAAGTAATTGAAGTTATGACCAAATTATTTTTTGAACAGTTACTTTGCACATCTTATATTAACTTTTTAAAAAACGTCAAAAATCTGTCAAATACATACAAAAAACACCGGTTATCGTTATAGTCTATGTTAAAGTTAGATGGTGCAACTCAGCCTTATAATTCAGTCTAAAATAGATTAATTTTCATCTAATAAAACTATAACACAGATTAAATTTTATCGGGCATCACTCTTATCATTAAAACTAACGCGAATGTTAAAATTTATCTTTTTAACTTCTTTAGTGTTGTTACTTTCTTATAACAAACAAACGGGCGTCTGTGGAGATTTCAAAATAATAAAAAATCCAACGTATCTGACCGGGTCAAAGTCCCTGTTAACTTAAAGCATCATAAAAGGCGAAAGTTTAAAAGTATCCCGTTAAAGTATCCTTTGCAACCTTGTCACCCTTGCCCATTATTTTCCCAGTCAGAATTTATTAATCCCACAACACCTCGCAAAAATAAAGCAGAAAGGGGATCCATAGGCTAATGTTGCACGAACCCTATCAATAATCGGCGGAACCCCCATAAATATGCGTTACAGCGATCGCTCCAACAATATGTTGTCATGATTGATCACGTCTGTGATAGCAAGAAACTTGTTCGCGCCGTTGTTTGTATTAAGGTGCGGTGGGATATTGTAGTGGAATAATCGCTGGATTAAGTATAACGTACTCTATTTCGAGACTTGAAGTAAGAATTACGTAGGTACACTATTTTGAAATGTTTTTTATCCTCTTCTGGGACTTTTAAATGAAAGAGGATAGTCTTAACGCTATTTTATTTCATTGTTTCACGCTATAAAAATAATGTTTTAGACTATTTATGTTACCTTTTTCAAAATAGCTGCATAAGGTATCTTTATGTTTGAAAAACTATTTTTCAGTATGCTCAAAGCTTGTGAAATTAATTTTTGTTACCGATTTTTGTAAAAACTGGTGTAACAAGTTAGTGTTTAATTTATTAAGCATAGTAATTTAGGTGTAATTAAAATACTGTCAGAGTCATAATTCTATTTTTGTTCCTTTCAAAAACAAATGTTCCATCACAGAACAAGGCACAAAGTTACGTGTCTAATCGGGGTACGTGTTAGACAGCATTGTCCGGAAATATTAAAACCGGCCGGTCATTAAATACAGATTTATAACCGGGTTGGCTCCCTCGCGCGGCTTCTCCAATCCGCCATGTTTTTATTCTTTTTCGACTGGACATTATGCTTCTGTCGAGATCTGAAATTACGTCGTTGAATCATGGGTAGGATTAATAAAATAATAACTTCGAAAATTGATTTGAGATGCTGGCAATTTCGTTTGTAGTATTGTAGCTATGTGCGATGTTGGACAGATGGAATCTTGTAGGCCTCTCTTTAAAAATCTAAAAATCATGCCATTACCCTCCTTATACATATTTGAAATCCTAATAGGTATTTACGAAAAAAAATGCAAACCTTTTTAAAAAAAAGTCTGATATTTGTAATCGTGGTGGTACGAGAAGATACCCTTGGAAGCTATCAGTACCCCCAGCAGCCACAACTTGCTTTACTAAAAATTGTTATAGTATGTGTATACGATTGTTTAATTTACTTCCAAATCACATTCATAATTTGCAATTTAATCTTTTTAATAGAACTATTTTCCGAATTCTCACTGAAAACTGTTTTTATGACATAGATGAATTTATAAAATTCTGCCGTGGTAACCATATTATGCGAATTGCTAATTTATGACATTCTTGTAATTTTGATACTGACATTGTATTCTCACTTTTTATTGTGATCATATTATTGTTTAATTTATTATAATTTATGTGACATCCTGAATTTTAATCCTTACCTGAATTACCTAATTGTTTTAATTGATATTGTAAATACATTGTAATAAATATTTTTGACATTTAAATTATATTGGAGGTAGATCATGTAATATTAATAATGACTATTAATAATTTAATAATAATACTGCATGACGACTAAATGTTTGCATATCGCTATGTCGATGAAACATGTTGTTCCCGTAACAAGATAATAACTGAAATGTACCATGTTTTATGCAAATAAATAATTTTGAATTTTGAATTTTTTGTATTGCAATTTTAAATTACATTCAGTAGCAAGCATTGGGATAACGCTAAAGGCACTATTAGCTCTACGATTAGGTAGGTACTTCTCTGCGATGTCTATGTCAATATTTGGCGAGACATTTATAAAATTAAATAATATGACTAACTGACTGACATAGCGATCTATCAACGTACAGCCCACACCACTGGACGGATCGGGCTGAAATTTGGCATGCAGGTAGATGTTATGACGTAGGCATCCGCTAAGAAAGGATTTTACGAAACTCCATCCCAAAGGGGGTAAAACGGGATCCACGTGTACGAAGTCGCGGGCGGCAGCCGCTTATCATCATCATCATCATCATTTCAGCCACAGGACGTCCACTGCTGAACATAGGCCTCCCCCAATGCTTTCCATGTTGATCGATTGGTAGCCGCTTATAGTTGATACATAAAATCCCTCTCAAAAAGTTTTTCAAAGCTCTCAATTTTTTTTATTGCAATAGTGTCCCAACTCAAAAACTTCAAAATTCTGTCAAACAACCGAAACAAGTAATTCTCACCTCGGCTGTGTGATCGGACACGTTCAGACATAGCATTGTTCGGAAATTCGGAACCGGTTCCGGCCGGTCATTAAATACAGATTTATGCCGGCCCGGATATCTCCCGTGCGACTCGACTAATGACCATCTAAATTGAGATAATTTCACAGCGGAGTTGCTAATAAGCCTGGGAGGTCAGTGCATGCCCAGATTAGAAATTAAATTGCTTGAATTATGTACCTCGTAAATATTAATAAGCGTAGTTTACGTGGGGATAGGTGGTTTGAATGAACCGATTTTGGGGAGTGTAGTAATTTTGATACGGGTGTGTAACTAGTGTAGATTAGCAGGACTTTTTATTTGGAATACTTTTTATGTTTAAAGTGCGACTCTTCTTTATTTATTTTTTCATATCTCTGATGTTGGTGCTGGATACAGTGTTTTGGGCATCGATCAGCTTCTTCTTACGCTTAAATTGAATAAAAATATAAAACTAACGTATCAGTTTAAATGATCGGACAAGTTTAATAAAATCCCGATTTTATGAATCCTTTTCATCCGGTAATAACGGTTTAGAGTCGTTGAGGAATCCCCGGTTGTTGACCGGTGGACTCAAGTTGGTATAAAAATTATAGTAGTAAAATGAAGAGGTCGTTTCTTACCGCTTGCATTGGCAGCACTAAAGATCAGATTTTTACCCGACTGTAGGATATCTACCCTGATATAAAGTTCAATAAAGTCATGAATTTTCGTTTTTATAGAAACGATTACGAACATTGAGGTAATTTGTGAATAGATTTTTTTTAATAACGGTCACTTTTACATTTCTAAAAATATATGTGACTAGTGTAATCCACCATCGACGGTAAACGAAAAAGTACACAACGATTGTTATTTTTGAATCAAGGCTGAGCAGTTAGTCACGCAGGGTTCATTCATAAACGTAACAGTGTACCAAATTTCCACGTCACTAGCTTTAATGGGGTGTTAGAACGTTTATTATTAGTTGAACTTTAAACTATACAATGACCTGGCATGGATCACTTTTATCGCCATTATCTATGGACGTCACACCATTATATTTAAAATTCACGAAATCTTTTACAACAAATGGGTATAGTTTCCTAACACTGCATAATAGGATAACTGATACAACAGAAAGTAAGGTCCTTCAAATATATTTTTACCAAACTGTGATTTGAGCCTCTAATGCATAACTTGTTTTACTCTAAACTAATATCAACTCCAAAATCTGCTGTTCTCCAAATGCTCATTAATTCATTTAAACTTTTTTGAACCAATTACTGATGTTTTCGGCATTATGAATTCATACATCTTAACGTTAAATTCTGCCAAAATAAAAACTTTTGAATATTACAACGTTGATTGTATGCATCATTTTTGTTTGCGATCTTAACTGCAAATACGACTCTCTCTTGGGATGTTTGCATTTAATTTTGCCCGGGACAAAGCTGTTATTTGCCATCATTGAGGTAAAATGCGACCTTTATAACTATAGGTTAGTTTTAGTGTAGTTTTATAGGCCCACAAAAGGGACAACAGGGCCAATCCCATGAATAAAATAATGGCAATCCGATCAGATCGGGCTGTCAAAGGCTTCGAGTTGTAAAATATGTTTGTTTATATGCTTTTTAAGGGACCTTTATTAAAATGTCGAGGACCGAGCAAACGGTCTTCCGATTCTACTAGGAAATAAGTGTTTTACTTTACATATAGAACTGTCATAAAGATGAAGACACATTGATAAATGATCGATGAAGCCTTTTGTTTTCTTTAGATAGCTTACGTATTATGTCATGAGAAAAGTAGTTTGAAGTAAGATTAATTCGTACATTAAAAGTTAATGTAATATTTAGAAGTAAGATTTCGTCTATCATTTAATTCTAAGTCCTGACCTAGATTACTTTCACCAGAGACACAACGACATCTAAAGATGCCCTAAACCACGTCCGCTGTCAGTGGTGCGGAGTAAGCGTGTGTAGCCTGTTCTTGTGTTGCAGGGGGCGCTTGGAGGCGGCTCGCGTAGGCGAACCCAGGTAGCGTTTGTTGTGCGTGGTGCCCTAGGCTGTACTGTTGTCACTGTCGAATAGCCGCGCAGTGAGCCTGTTCCACGTCGAATCTACAGAGTACGCTCAACTAACTCTATCCTTCTCCCACCAACTTCCCCACTCTTTTCAATCTTTCTCGACTCTCTTTTGTTCTATCTCCGAGCGCACTCCTAAATAGATTCGACTTCGAACAAATACACTCACTATGCACTTAGTTATCGTCGTGCTGTATAAAACATTTTGTTTTCGTATTCATTTCGATACGTAATTAGTGTGGATTTATGTTTTGTCATTAATTTTACACACGTGATTTCTGTACTGAGCCCGATACAGTTTGTGGAGCCGTTCAAAATTGATGTTTTTTTATGTATTGGGTGCCGCGGTCTAAATGTCATACGCTCGAACAGAAGTCTTAGTTTATTTTTATAACAGACAAACTAATCGAAAGTTTGGATCGAGGTTTCCGTAGTTCACCCCTAACTACCCCATCATGAGTAATCACCCCTTTGGTTTATGTGAAAAGTTTTCTACGGAATCCTCTTTAAATTGTCACCATTGCAACATTAGTGTAATGTGCTAATTTTTTGTGTTGAACTGGGTTTGGATTTTGTTCGTTGTTCCCATTACCTAACTAAAAATGTGTGTATTATGTGTTTTATAGAGCTGTCGTTGTTTGTCTCATTGCGTGGTGAAAACGAGCGGAGTTGTGTCGATGCGGCCCGTCCGTCAGAGATAGGGCGCTGTTGATGTAAAAGTTACTTTATTTATGACCAGAAAGAGTGTAAAATCTAAAAAAAAAATACTTGTATTTTTAATTGAATTTTTAAAAAATATTTTTTGTGATTTCTGGGCATAATATTTTAAATTCGCATTCGACATTTCCCTTAAAATCCATCGCATTGACAACAGTAGCAACTTAGAGCGCGCGCACATGACGCTGCGTTTGCATATGCGCGCATACTGTGTCTATTGCATATGAACGATTTTGCAAAAAAGAGTCTTAAAAATATGCCTTTTTTCGGATGAGTACTTACTTTACGATTTATGGAAGCAAAATCGCTCAGTGTCCTTTAATTTTTCTATCAGAATGAACTAAAAAGAACATCTAAATAATGTCCAAAGAATCAAGCATCGTATGCGCGCTTGCAATTATTTACCGTGGGTTGTAAAAATATATACTCCTTGTAAAAGAAATATGACATACATGAAAGTTTCACTAGCTCTCTGTTTTTACGAAATTGCCCCTGATGCTGGGGTAATATTGAGTTAAGAGTTCTTGAGCGAAGTGAACGTAATGTACGTCATTACTCAGAGAGATCGTGGCGTCCCAACGCTGGGGCGCTACGACTAGTGGCGTTGTGTTCGCGTGTCCTAACATCCGCGCTGCAGCGCCCTGTCAGTCGAGGGCCTTATTCGCGGTCACCAGGTCGCCTGTGCTAGCTGTTATTATGGTCCTCTCTCACGATGCAGGTCAACAGGTCATCGCATCACAGGTCACTCAACTATCTTTTTTTATTTAAAAATAAGACCTCTTGACCTGCATATAACTGTGAATAACTGTTTAAAAGGAGACAATTGGCAATTCAATTCCGCCGCTCCACGCACCGCCGCTAGGCTTGATGTGGTGTGGCTATGGCCGTAGTCTGCTAGACTGTTGTGACACCTGATTGTTTTTCGCCACAGATCGGAAGCTGTTCGTTGGTATGCTCAGCAAACAACAGACGGAGGAGGATGTGCGCCAGTTGTTTACACCGTTCGGGACAATAGAAGAGTGTTCAATTCTAAGAGGACCCGACGGTGCAAGTAAAGGTAAGAGATTTCTATCTTTATTATTTCTATAATCTCCCCGTGAATACAGAAACGTTTCCTAGTATTATTGTTGTTACACAGATAAAACTTTAATTGATCGTAATTGAAACAATAATTGCGGCGTCCTATTTTACCAGCAATGTCAAATCGATCTCACTTAAAACTTTCCACTTCCACAATGCTATTCCAAAAGTAGGGTACTTAATGACGAAAGTGACATCTATTTTCTCCCCAAAATTCTCGAAACAGTATTAGGCCCACTTCACCTGCGTATATTGATAAGGTAGCGAGGGAGCTAACGAATGCGGGTCTTTATACGATGAATTATTAACGCACTGTCGTTTTTGACGGGAGTTGCGTATCGTGCGTATCATGGGTACAGTGGCCACTTTGCTGGATACGTTTGAGGAGGCCCTCGTTGTTTGTGAATAAAAGATCAGTAAGTGGGAAACGGGTGCGTGAAATAGTTCTGGTCTTTTTTTTGTATAATTAGGGAAACAAGTTTGGGAGGTATACTTATTAGTAAATTAATCACCTATTTCGTTGTTTGAATTGATATTTTGTTTATTATGCCCTTCACTCACAATACAGGTCACGTCATTAATATACTACAACTGGCCGTTTATTAAATATATTTCTTTTAAAACATCTATTTTAAAAACAAGCGAATGTAGAATTCGCACTTGAATTTGGAACGCGTCTTTTAATCTGTGCACCCCACCGTGACGACGATTAATAACCGAAAACGCGTCGAACCCGACGAATTGAAACAGTAACCACCGCGTAATACGTCATCCGATGCGACTCCTTGTTACGCAACTTTAATTTCATTTTGTACTCACTCCAAATTGTTGGATTTTAATTGAGTTACAACAGTAAACTTCGCAATTGCGGTGCGCGGCCTGTTAGCTACCTAAGCGCTGTCTTTATGTACACATAAACTTTTTACACCCGTCTCTGTCATTATTGGACGATAAAGTTATTAACTACCAAGTACAGATGTACTGAATAGCGCTGCAAATTGTTAATTTTAGATAATTACAGCGGCGGGAGACGATAAACTCGTTTTACTGACTCGTAAGCATTATGTTTCTGGCGTTTTCATTATAAATCGGAACACAGTCGTTTTGGAGTATATCCACGCCCGTCTTTTTATTGAAATTAATTTTTGCAAGTTCTTCTTTATTTTATTCTAATTACAATTCTCTTTTCTAAAGATCTCAATTTTTGTTCTAGTAAGATTTGATAGTAGCATAAAGGTAAAACTTTTCTCTCGTGTAAGTTGTATAAACTAAATAGTTAAAGGCGGGTCTATAGTTTACGTGCATTCGATGCTAAGCGGCTTTGTCGAAGCCTATTAGGGCCGTCTAAGGATATTAGATAAATTGGCAGACACTATTATTGTTTTCTCAGCGAAGAAAGTCTGTGTACTCTACACAAGGAATATTTTACTTTAGAGTGAATCAAATAGATTGATATGGTAAGAGTCGTTTCCTCTACACAAGGAATATTTTACTTTAGAGTGAATCAAATAGATTGATATGGTAAGAGTCGTTTCATCGCATACCTATACTAAAAAGGTATAGGTAAATTAATTACAGTACATTCAAGTAGATACTTGCTCCTTCTTTTCTTCTTTATTTTAGGGTTGCAACTTATGTTGTAAAACTTGAGACAAGAGATATAGAGAAGTCTCAATAAGACACAATAAACAGGAGATTTTTATTTATTTATTGTACATTGACATATAATAATTCAATGGACTGCTTAATTACTAAAAAGTAGCTACAATCTGCTCGACGCCAAACGAAGTGAACGCAAATTTTAAATTTCTAAAACGAATCCGCACTTCATTGGACGTGTCGTTGAGGTCAATTCCTTCGATGCGTTCAGAATTCACAAAAACATCACATTAACTCCTGTGAAATTAAATGAACATTAATCATAAAATTAACGAGAAGATAATGCAAAAATTATCAAAAAGCAGCTTGGCCATAATTAAGCTACTAATCGCCGCACCTATCGTGTGGTCTCTCGCGGTAAATCCTCTTTAATCTCGCACAAAAAATCTCGCCCCTTTATGAGGGTAGGCAGAAAGAAATCTACTGGCGTCAATGAACGTAACTTTAATGATTTCGGCTTTATTAAAGCGATGTAGAGATTTTTGGAGCGTCTAAAGCTCTATTTTTAGTCTTTATTTTTGATGATTTTTAGATTAATTAAAAGATACTCGTTGTTTAATGGGAACGTAGTCTAATTTGAATCAATAAATTAATTGACCTTTAGTATGAGCTTAGTAATTACTAAGCAACTTCTATAATCTGTCCTTGATAATAATGAAGGTATAGCGGAATACCTTCTGCCTGTTGAATTTAAAGGAAACAAAATATTATAAAAATTCAAATGTTTAGGAAGAATTGAAAAAATATCTGTAATACATACTCTACGAGCATGAATACTATTCTTTATACGGAACTCTCATGTAATACCTGTTAATTTTATATCTATCAAATAAAACATTGTTATGTTTACGGCTGCTAACATTTGAACTCTAGCTACCATTAAACATTACGGTACGCATCATTAAATGGCTTTATAACACTCATTAATACAATAATTATTATTACCGTATAAAAACTACTTCTAAACAGCTTTCTTATCATTGTAGACATCACTAACATTTTGTTCAGACGTGTTTTGTTTCTGTTAGAAAAAGGTATTATTAAAAAAAGGTTTGTTCAGTAAATACGATTTATCTCACCTCTCGCTATCCAACTAGGTAGTGAAGGTGGAAGTGTCTTCAGTAATAAAAATAATTTCGTGAGATATCGATAAATCGTGCTACAAATGTTTTAAATGTGAAAGTTTGAGAAGATGGATGTTTGTCATATCTCTTGACTTAAATTCAGTAGATACCAGTGTTTAAGAGGGTTTATGTATTAAGTTCAAAACGCCACCAACAGATGGCGCTGTACGTTATTAACTCGCGCAAGTGAAGTATTTTTTGGCCCATACATATATGGGGGACTACAGAGTCCATTTTCGAACAACTTAATACACGTCTTGTCTTAGTACAATACTATTGTGGTTTTATTTGAGTTAACCCTTTAGTACAGTTCAGAACATCGCAAGTTCAGTGTGTTAACATTGGTCCTAAACGAGACCGGATTTTGGGAACAACAGTCCCAGTCATGGGGACGCGACGCTTCGTGTACTCGCAGTGAATCGCTGTGGCAAAAGTACACGCAACAAACCGCCCGGCAACAAGCAGTGCAGCGGCGGTCAGGCGTACTGGGCGCAGCAGCGCCAGCGCTGCCAGCAGGAGCGGCCGCAGTGACAACACGAGGCGAAAGCTGAGCTATCGACGTGATTGAAGGTGACGACATCATCAGGACGACAACAGTCAACGGCACACAGGCAAAGGAAGTCGACGCAAGTGTGAGTGATTGTGTGGTGATAAACTGTGAGTACAATTTTGACATTTACTCAGTTCAAGTGAAGAAGTTCGTGGCAATTTTGACCTTATTTTAAGAGTTTTGAACTTGTAATATTTTAGATTCTACTGTGAGTAATATTGGACTTGTAAAATTTTAAAGGCATGTTTTAAGACTTAGAATAATTAGCTAAAAAACGAGGGAACGGGGAATCCATGCCCGATTTTGTTGATATTTAAGTTAAGCGAAAACACTTGTAATTTTTTCATAGATTTGTCATATTAGTAAAAAGTTAGATTTTACAAATTGCAATATTTTGTTTATGCACAGTCTTTTAATTGTAACTTCAATATGGAAGGTTTAATTAACGTTCAGAAAGACTTACAAAAAGCTATTGAAAAGGGTGCAGTTAATTATAGAAAAAGTCCAAAGGATACAATCACTATTGAATATTTAGAAACTAGATTGGAAAATGTGGAAAGAGATTGGAGATTATTTTATAAAAATCACAATAAGTTAGTTCTTCAGTACGAGGGCAAAGAATTGGAAAATAGTTCATATGTCATTAACGACATCTATTATAATACTGAGGAATCTTACATATTGTATAAATCATGTTTGAAAACTGAGTTAAATAAATTATTGGCTGTGCATAACACAAAGAGAAAAATCTGCAAATTTAAATGTTGAAAATGTGAGTCCAATAATTCTTTTGTTAATTTACCTAAAATATCGATTCCGAAGTTTTCTGGTAATTATTCAGAGTGGCCAACCTTTAGAGACTTGTTTACTTCACTCGTACATAATAATAATTCACTCGATGATGTACAAAAATTACATTATTTAAAAGGCCAACTGTCAGGAGAAGCAGAACAATTAATAAGACATACTCCTATTAATTTCTTCAAACGTGTGCGACCTTAATAGCTGTTCTATTTGTTATTTTCGTGGATAACGGTGCTGGTTGTGCATTTATTTAAGATATATCTGTAAGACTTTTTGTAAAACCGTTAGTACAATAATTGTTTGTTGTGCCTAATAAAATAAAATTTAAAAAATAATAATATTACCAGTGATAATTATTTGCAGCTTTGGGATCTATTAGTAAAGAGATACAACAATAAACGTTATCTTTCAAATTGCATTTTGAAACGATTATTTAGTCAAAAACAATTAAATGTTGAATCATCATCGGGGTTAAAGGAATTGTTGGACACTACATGTGACTGTTTAGGTGCGCTGCAGAACATAGGTATACAGGTGTCCACATGGGATGTTATTATCATTCATATTATAGTAACGTTTAAATTGGACTTAGAAACGCGTAAACAGTGGGAATTACATATTTTTAGTATTGATGCCAATATTTTACCAAATTGGAACCAACTTAAGGAGTTCTTAGAGAGTCGTTTTCGGGCTCTGGAGTTCGTAGTTGCGAAGAGACCTTTCCAACAAAATAGTAGTCCTCAGAACAAGCCCAAGGTATTGCTTTCTACTAGTGGTTCTGGTATGCGATGCTCAGATGTTCACAAGTTATGTTTCTGTAAAGAGTTCGCTAAACAAGATTGTGCAAAACGACGTGAGTTCGTTCTTAAAAATCGCATTTGTTTTAATTGTTTGGGCAGTAATCACACCGCTTACGAATGTAAAAGCCCCAGTACCTGCAAAATATGTAAAAAGCGCCACCACTCGTTACTTCACATAGCATCTGAAAAGGTAAACGAAAAGAGTTCATCTGAAGAGGTCTCTCCACTGGTGACTTGTCTGTCAACAATGGAAAAACCTAAGCAGGTTTTATTAGCCACCGCGTTAGTAAATGCCGAGTCACAAACAGGTGAATTTCAAGTTATACGGGCGTTGCTTGATTAAGGCTCTCAGGCGTGCTTTATTACCGAAGCCACTGTGCAGCTTTTGAGATTGAAAAAGAGATCAATTCATGGCGTTATTTCAGGATTGGGAGATAATAAATCAGTAACTACCAAATATGAGGTCAACTTTACAATACAGTCGCGTTTTGATCCTTTGCATAAAATAGCTATCAAGGCGTTCGTGTTAAAAAACATCACATCATATTTGCCTGAAAAGCAAGTCAATCAATTGGATAGATTTGCAATACTTACCGCTAGCGGATCCTGGGTTCACTGCATCAGGTAAGATTGATTTGCTGATTAGTGCAGAAGTTTACAGCTACATTCTGAAAGAAGGGTTAATGAGAAGTCCAACGGGATCGTTGATCGCGCAGAACATCACATTAGGGTGGAACGTTTCGGGTGTAGTTGACACTGCCAATGTAACTGAAGAAAAGAATAACAAATCTAAGGCCATTTCAAGAAATATAACTGTCATGCACGCACAAGTAAATGAGGACGACATTTTAAGGAAGTTTTGGGAAATTGAAGAACAACTACCTGATAAACGGACTATCTTAACCGAAGAAGAACAACGCTGTGAAGACTTCTTTACAAGCACCACAGTGAGAACACCCGAAGGTCGTTACATTGTGAGGTTACCATTTTGTGAAGATCAACCGCAATGCACGAATCACGGGTCTAGAGATATCGCAGTAAGCTAGATTTAGATCTTTGGAAAAAAGATTCGCAAAGGACAAACACCTAAAAGAAAAGTACACAGAAGTAATAAATGAATATCTAACTTTAGACCACATGAGGCCAGCCAATGAGAACATAAAGGAAAATGAAGCAACTTATTTACCACATCACGCTGTTGTACGAGATGATAAAACGACAACAAAGGTTCGAGTGGTATTTAATGCCTCAGAGAAGAACAAGAAAGGTGTATCATTAATAATGATACTCTTATGATTGGCCCCACCATACGAGTGGACCTTCGCTATACTGTGATGCGATGGAGAGAACACCCGATTGCATTAGTAGCGGACATCGTCAAAATGTATCGCCAGGTTTTAGTAGCAGAGGAAGATGTGAAGTACCAACGTCTCCTGTGGCGCGACGAACCTGAAAAACAAATAAAAGAATATGAATTACTGACAGTTACTTTTGGAACAGCATCGGCGCCTTACCTTGCGGTTAGAGTGTTGCAGCAAATCGCCATGGACGAAGGCCAAGAAGTTCCTCAAACTGCTGAAATGATTCTACAGAGCTTTTATATGGACGATCTGATGACTGGTTGTTCAAGCGTCGAAGAAGGCGTAGAGCTCTATAATCAGTTAAGCAAAATATTAGAAAAAGGCGGATTTAAATTACAAAAGTGGAACAGTAATGATAAAACGTTAGTTGAAACTATCAAGGAGAAGGAAAGGGAAAGTGACAGGTTAGTGACAGAGGAGGTAATAGAAGGAAATAAGGACAGGGATACACAAGAAACAGAACAAACAGAACTAAAACTCAAATTACACCAAACAGTAAAAATATTAGGACTTACCTGGAATCGCGACGACGACTTCCTGCAGTACTTGGTGATCCTTCCTCCAGCAACCGCACCTGTAACAAAAAGAACAATTATAGGAGATATAGCGAGACTGTTCGACCCACTAGGATGGATAGCGCCTACAATCATCATTCTTGTCTTAGTACAATACTATTGTGGTTTTATTTGAGTTAACCCTTTAGTACAGTTCAGAACATCGCAAGTTCAGTGTGTTAACAACCAGTCCAAAAATATTTTGTCCATGCTTTTTACCCCATTTCTCATATTATCCCTAAGGCTAATTTTGTATAATTGCAAGATAAACAAAATCTTCACAATCCGAGCCAAATTCAAAAGCTAGTTTATTAACCCTTAACTGGTATCGTAAATTGGACATACGTAACTGGTATCGTGGGGGCCGCGCGGCCCCCATACTATGTTTGCTTCCAGCAAGCATGTTTTACCTATATACTTGAATAAATGCTCATAAATGATATATATCAGTCTTTTTCTATGTAATCATTTACTTTTTACTGTATTAAATCTTCTTACTTATATACTTCAAGACATTACATAATAGTAACAACTTTTTACGTAATATTTTTTTAACGTTACAAATATCTATGAAACCTACGTTTAGAAAGTTATAACCAACAATATTATTATGTAAATTAATACATAATAATGTGAACTTAATAATAAATAACGTTTTAATGTAATGTTTAATAAAAAATAATAAGCATTTCATAAAAATAAAAACATAAATATTATGTTGACAAACATTAGCAGGTGCTAGTGGATTTTCAGACCACTTGTATTTATTTTTTCATAGTAGCTGGATTGACTAGGTCCTACAACATCTTCATTTTCACTCTCTGAAGAAAAAACTTGAAAATCAGAATCAATATCGACCGAATATTGGTTATTGGGTCTTCACAATTACCTATAATTTTATTATCACTATATTCTTCTTCTGACATGCTACTAATAACTAATTTGGAATCAAAAACTTCGTTCTAGGTATCTTCTATGGTTTTATCACTAATTAGCCATCAATACTGCAAAAAAACAAAAAACAAATAAAAATTGCCATGAAAAAAAAACTAACGTAACTGGTATTGTGGGGGCCGCGCGGACCCCAACACGTGCATATCTTCGTCCTGGTGAATGAGACAGTGCTGAAACGCCTGCACCAGACGCGAGTAGCGCCGAAATGAGAATACCAAAAATTTTGGCTGCCCACGATGCGTAGCTTCTTAGAAATCAAAGAAAACGTCATGCGTGGGGGCCGCGCGGCCCCCACGATACCAGTTAAGGGTTAATAAACTTTGCTCTATCGCACTAGAGGGTTTTTAATTCTGATTAATATTGTTGAGGTACAGAAGATAGTTTATCTTTCCCGAGGGTACTCCCAACTTCCTCGGTTGGGTTTAATCGACGGTCACGTACATCGTAGGTAAAAGAGTTGTATTGGGAACGAGAGGTAAATAGAGTAAAACACGTTACTATTATAAAACGTTGTTATTCAGAAGAACTAACTCGAACTTCTTTGAAGTGCTCTAAATGGCTTCCTAGAAATATCTTATATTTTAAGAGGGTTTAGTTGAAAGCTTTCTCAATTCTAAATAGTAAATTATGACTTCTAACATAAAAGTCTCATCACTATTACATTTTTGAAATGCGATAACATTAACTGATTTTAGACATAAAGTGACTTAATATTTGAGACAAAAAATTTCTTTGGAAAAATGGTCGAAGTAAAAGTGACTGAAGGAATTCTTGATGGAGAGAAAGTTTCCAGCGAAATATGTGGGACTTTTTACAGTTTTAAAGGGATCCCTTATGCTGCTCCTCCGGTGGGAAATTTGAGGTTTAAGGTAAAATAAATTAGTCATTATATTTATGGCTCAAGTTCATCAAACACTTTTAAATTTAAATACACATAATTGTAACTAACCACCGTTTCCTATGAAATATACTGCCAGATTAATAATTTTAGCACATGTAAAACCTAATCGTAAAACCAATGGATGTTTTTAAACGTGGTACATTTTATAAAACTTTCAGGCTCCGCAACCACCTATCCCATGGACCGGTATCCGAAGTGCCAACGAACTAGGTGGTATTTGCTATCAATTTAACTTCTTGAAACGAGTGCGGGAGAAGGGTAGCGAAGATTGTCTTTATCTTAACATTTATACGCCTAATATAAACCCGACAAAACTGATGCCAGTAATGATTTGGATCCACGGAGGCGCCTTTTGTTGCGGCAGTGGCGATGATGACCTTTATGGTCCTGAATTCCTCATCCGTAATGGTTCTGGTCACCATAAACTATAGACTGGAAATCTTTGGATTCCTCTGCCTAGACACCGAAGATATTCCAGGTAATGCTGGCATAAAAGACCAGGTAGCCGCTATGAGATGGGTTAAAACGAACATCTCGAATTTCGGAGGTGATCCAGAAAATATCACCATTTTTGGACAAAGCTCTGGGGCGGCTTGTGTAACGTACCACTGTGTTTCGCCAATGACAAAAGGGCTGTTCAAAAGGGCTATAGCTCAGAGTGGGTGTATGATGAATCCTTGGGCTCAGAGCTATAGACCACGTGAAAGAGCTATTGCTCTAGCTAGACACCTGGGATGCACATCACAAGACGATAAAGAACTATACGAATTCTTCAAATCCCAACCGGTTGAAAATTTGGCAGAGATTCAAGTGTCTTTAATGATGCGTGAAAAGGATCCAGATAAATATGAAACTCAATTCACAGTGGTCAGTGAAAAGAAATTTCCAGACGTAGAGGCATTTTTTACTAGTGATATTAAAGAAGCACTCAAGACTGATATACATGAAGAAGTTGAATTGCTTACAATGAAGATGAAGGGACAGTGAATGTTATTGCTGCTCACGATATCGATAAAATGGTTCATCATGCCAACAGCTTTATCGAATACTTTGTCCCTAGACCTTTCTCTTTATATTGTAGTGTTCACGATCAAATAGATATTGGAAGGACGGTGAAAGAGCATTATTTACAAAATAGACGAGTGACAACAAAACATTTAGACGCAATATCTAACTACTTCGCAACAGACGTGGTTAAACTTGGAGTGTGGCACTTCGCGAAATTATTTGCGGTCAAAAATAAAGTATTTTTGTACAAATTCAATTGTAAATCGGAAAGGAACTTATTTTCTACAATATGTGGAGTGACGAAATATTACAGAAATAGTTCACTTTTGGGGCATTGTGATGAGATTGGTTATGTTTCTCCAATGGCATCAGCCAGAAGATTCAGCCTTCGTCCTGGACGATGATCAATATAATGACAAAACTCTGGACAAACTTTGCTGCATATGGGTAGGTAGTATCGAAACTTTTATACCTAAACCTACCTTAGTTCAACATTCATTTCCTATAGGCTTCTTTTTTTGTTGTTAATTTATCCAACTTGTAACAACAATCGTTTTAATTGAATAATGACGATAATGTATGGGATAAGTGGTTGGCTTACCTACAAATAAATCAGTAGGTTGACATTCCGTGACCAATTAAAGTACAGTCCTTTCTAAAGATAAAAATAGTTGCCCTATTGAATCAATCAGTTCTGTTGCCTATTTTCAGATTTACAAAATAAGTAATATACAAAAAGTTACTTTAAAAAAATGTTTTTAATCCAAATTACAACTATTAATATCATTAACTGAAACCCAACTCCCGACATTGGCCTTGGTATCACCTGGAGGCAGTTCAAAGCTGAAACCCAGAACTACATGGAAATTGGTCAGACCCTGACAAGGCGAACGATGCCGGATAGAGACGAGCAACTCTTTTGGGAAGAACTCTTCAAAAAGTACTTACCATAGATGCTATTACTGGGAAATTGAGAATAATACCTACTTAGAGCTAACTTATTAGGTTACGTCTTGAGTCCAAGAATTTTCTAACTGATCTCCTGGATATGTTTGTACTTTTAGTATTACTGGTTATTAAACTTGTAGACATTGATATCTAAATCTAAATATTTATGTAACTCAAAGGTGACTTACTGACATAGTGATCTATCATTGCACAGTCAAAACCACTGGACGGATTGGGCTGAAATTTGGCATGCAGGTAGATATTATGATGTAGGCATCCGTTATGAAAGGATTTTACGAAACTCCACCCCTAAGAGGGTAAAACGGGATCCACGCGTACGAAGTCGCGGGTGGCCGCTGGCTTACAAATAAATGATTATTTTACTGTGCCTTCTAAACTACACGTGGCAGCTCCTAAATTAACTTCCTCCCAAAAAAGTGCGGACATTCCCGTATCTGTCAACCGGTTATAAAACCACCATGGCGTTGTAATAATAAAAATATTACGCCCAGAAAAATGGGGCACATAATTTTTAATAGATGTCTAGCCTCGATTAACTGTTAAGAGCCACTCAGCGCTGACGAAAACGTGAAGAGCGTTCCGGTGCCCTCGTAAAATATTACGCGATAAGTAATTACGCAATAAAAAATATGCTTACAAAATATGACTCTTAGTGCTAGGGGAGGCGTCAATAGTGCGGGGGTTTTAGTGCGCGCACCTTAGGTTTGGTCGAGTTGAAAAAGACACAAAGATACATTGTTAACGCCGTGATTTATTCTATTAGATTCATCATCATCATCTTCTCAGCCATAGGACGTCCACTGCTGAACATAGGCCTCCCCCAACGCTTTCCTGCTACCTTTATGATGTCGTCGGTCCACCTTGTGGGTGGACGTCGCACGCTGCGTTTTAGTTCGGAAACGTGGCCTGTCACTATAGGCCTTATACAGAAGCTATTAGATAACATGTGTTTAAATGAGGTTTTGTTATGTGTTACATCTAATAGAGATAAAAATCTAATTACTTGCTTTTCACAGAACAGCTGATGTAGTAAATATATCATTAATTGTTTTTAAAAACACTGAGTCTTAAACTACTGCTAATGTTTTATACATACTCATCACAAGTTTGTGTAAAATTCCCAACACTAACTTTTAAGTGAAGACCACTTCAATTTGACTTTTATTTTTGAGACGTTAAATAAACTTAAGTGTCATTTTCGCTTTCAAGTAATCTAAGTTAAGAGTTTGCGGTTGTAATCTTTTTTTTTGGAGCTTACTTTGTCAACCAAATAAAAATCCTGACGCTAAAGCAAATTAGTTTTGAATCACTTGCACCGGCTATGAGTAATGATAAAAGTAACTAGCGGCCGCCCGCGACTTCGTACGCGTGGATCCCGTTTTACCCCCTTAGGGGTGGAGTTTCGTAAAATCATTTCTTAGTGGATGCCTACTACGTCATAACATCTACCTGCATGCCAAATTTCAGCCCAATCCGTCCAGTGGTTTGGGCTGTGCGTTGATAGATCACTATGTCAATCAATCTGTCAGTCAGTCAGTCATCTTTGAGTTACTCGTAGATATATTTAGATGGCATGGGCTCTAGAGGGGGGCAAGTCATATCCAACTTCTGGCTTAAAGAGAGGAGGCAAGTCATACGGTCATACCCAGCTTCTAGCCTAGAGGAAGCAAGTCAGATTTTTAGGTCAATTCGTTTGACTAAGCTTCTTTAAAGCGATTTCCAGGGGACAGCTGCCCTCAACCTGGGCACGCCCATGAGTAATTCTAAAAGAAATATCCACGAATCACGTTTCAAAATAATACGTCTGAGGAAGAAATGTAATTTAAAATGACAGTCTTATTTTTCACACGCCAAAAGATTTTCCTGAAAATGAGCGTATAAGGCCGAAAGGTTCCGAACTTGGGAGTATTTGCTAAAAACAAAGGGGATGAGAATGAGAGAATAGGGAAAAATCGAACGATTCTAGTCATTGGCAACACCACATTAGAGGTTGTACGACCATCTGGAGATCAATGAGCATTTTTAACGGAAATTTTCCGAGTTTTCCGGGTTACGGGTTTTGTGAATAGAGTGTTTTAGGTCTTTAACTTAAATTAACGTTCTTATGTGTAAATGTGCTGGTAGATTTTATGAATTTGTAAATTTGGTACAGTATTCGCAATTTTGCACAATTAATTATGATATTCTTCTTCTTCTTCGTCGCTACCCTCGTGGTTTGGTGGCTCAACTATGATATAAAGATTTAATCTTACTGATGATCCTTTGGTAGATTTTTCGGAACCGTTATAACTCAAGGGAATAATGTTTACCTTGATAATAAATAGCTTGAAAATTGGTAATCCTATTAAGTTTTTATACTTTTCATCATCAAAGACACGTTATTCCCGCACATAGACGATCGAGGTCCTTTATTAACAACCAAAATACAATATAATCTCGTAATACTGGAGAACCTTTCGCTTTGGTAACAGAATTCGTCTGACACTCGGAGCTTGGTAATCCCATTGTACGCTCCAAGTAAATACAATACGGTTTATATGTATACGAGCACCGTAGGGTGTACGGATCGGCGTGTACCAGAAAATATAACGCTTTCACACGGTTCAGCGGATCTCGGTCTTATGTACGGGGCTTAGAGTTTAGATTTTGTTTTGATCTTTTAAACTTGTCTTTAAACTTGATACCAGGCGAAACCTTTTACTATGTTCTAGAAGTAAGGACATCCTTGTGTTAGGAAAACAGGCGAGTCTTGGAAAGTGGCAGATGCCAAACAAAGGCAAAAAAACAATGCATTTCGAACTAAAAACTGTTTCTTCTGGCATCCATTTTTGTTGAAAGAACTTTTTACAAACGCGGAAGCGAATAAATATGTTACAGAAGTCTCTTCCCATCAATCACAAGGCACAATCAGAAGCAACTACGTCGGGACTATCTGGAACTTTCACAATAACAAATCACGGTCGAGAATACGACGTGTCCCTTTTTTATAAAATCTTGCGCCCGCGATGTAAATCAGCCGATCGTGGACACCAATCTTTTATCGGGCACACCACAATACAAAGTTGGCACAGTATCTCAACTTAAGACAACTTTGTCAGGCTGTTTTAAGTTTTTTGAAAGTATTATATTTCATGTCTTTATCACTTAGACAATCAGAGCTAAATGACTGATTTATTAGTATTACTGAAATCACGAAAAGTTAAATTAGTATTACTGAAAACGCGTTAAAATTCATGCATAGTCCACGCCACGGCAATACAAACTGGAAACATAAATAGTGTTAGGTAAAAAAATATATTGAAGTGTCTCAGTTAATGATATTGAATTTTTTTTTTCATTTTATTATTTGCAATTAAAAATATCTTAATAAAATAACTAAATACTTACCCAGTGTCGATGTCAATTACCTTTATTTGTATTATTTGTAAGAAAAAATGCCCGCCACTTAATTTAGCATAAAGTCCACTATGGCCGTACCCTTCGCACAGTGCAGAACACTGTAGCGCGCCCCGAGCGACTCATCTAGCTCATATTTTGCCTGTGAAATATGGGCGGTCTAGAATATTCGTAGGTAAAAAACCGTCGCGTTATGGACCGTCTGCTTTTTGTGATCGTTGACGATGTTTTTATCGGCGATGTGAGACGATCTTTAGAAAGTTATTGACCTCAGTGCAAGTTGAACTTTACATTAAAAAATTTTTTATTTTTACTATGAGAAAAACTCATAAACGATTTATTCATTCAAAGTCTCCGTAGTCTGTAAAAGTAGTATTATTGGGTACAAATCTCTCTCTTCATTTAGTGGATCTCGGTTGAATTCCTGAGTCAATACTCAATACTTTATCATCATCTATACATCACAGTGTACGAATGTAGGTAGGTTTTACAAAATATAATTAGATCACCATAAACATTGTTGGGCACAAAGTAGGTAGTACAAAGTGAATAAAACACTTCTGATTGGTAATTGGTTACCTATCAGTTTGGTTTAAGTTGTAATATAGGATTGTTTGGAAACAACTTTTTTGAAATCAACTGAATATTGGTATAATAAAGAGTCACATACCTAAGTGCAGTCACCATTGGTAGATCACACTCGTACTTATTTGGGTGCATATAACTTATTGCCTATAAAGGTCTTCTTCTTCTGGAAAGACATAAGTAAGCGCTCTATAACCATCTCAATCGCTTAGGTATGAAGCTTCTTAAACTCTGTCTGTCTGTCCTCCACTATTGAACCCTCAGTTATAGCGACAGAAGAATTCATCGCAAACTTATTGGTACATAATACTTAGTAGTAAGGTGACCTTTCCCAGGCTGTAGAGCAGCGGTTCCCAAACTTATTTTGTCTACTACCCACTTTGAGAATAAATTCTTTTTTAGCGCCCCCATTTTTGTAGTCAAGAGTCGAGTGCTCAGTCGGTGTCTAAGAGTCCTCCTAGTAGATGATATTATAAATCGCCTACCAAGCCTCAACACAATGCCCCGATTTTTTTCCGGGGTCTCTTACCGCCCCCCTTTAAGCCTGCAGCGCCCACAAGGGGGCGTTATCGCCCACTTTGGGAAAGACTGCTGTAGAGGAAAACGTTGATTATTGACGGGACCGGAGGCTTTACAAACGGCACGTTCCGATCGCTCGGGCTTCTCATTGAACGGAAAAGTAATAATAAAATAACACAGACAATTTTGTTTGCTTTGTTAATGTACTTGTTATTGTTTTGGATAGTTTGTATACTGATGCTTAAAGTACACTATAGTGATAGAGTCGAGAAAAAATGATATAAAAACGACTAAGTATTTAGTTTTAGTTATTTCAATATTTAAATCAACACACAAGATTAGGTAGAGTTGAAAGAATAGAAATGAAAAGTAGAAAAATAAATAAAGAATAGTCAGTTGAGGACATTTAGGCTTTCAAAATACTAGTAAAGCCTTATGACGCGAGTGTCGTAACAGAAAATGCTATTTATTGTGAAATACCTTACAAAGTTTTTAACGATGCACTTTAAAATGCATTAGGAGTATCTGAATCATGCAATACAAGGCCGTCGATCTCAAAAATATCTCCGTGTTTCTGAACACCTTTCGTATCTCTTCAGTCCTGTGTGAAAATCTAGTAGATTCGTAACCGAAATTATCCGACACTTTCGGATAATCCGAAATGATATTTTCCGTATAATGATATCCGTAACCAAAACCGGTTTAATATTATTCTAATATCCGTAATCGTATCCATAACCGAAACTTCATATCCATAACATCCCTGGTACCAATCACTGATTTACCGACGTAGCGCCCACAAAACGCGTTGGAAAACTGGGCTGTTATACCATCCAATTGACACAGTGCAATCCATTCGCCGTATCAACGGTCGCCATCTTTTTGCACGATGAATGGTACTTTCGTAATTTGGTATCCGATTGAATCGGGGTGTAAGGTTATCTGTTTGCTAAATATGCTTTCAATTGTTGATAATTGATTGACATGGCTTTGATAAGGTTGTTTGTTTTTATGTGTGTAATTTTGTCAGTGTACGGCTATGTGCAAACTAGCTCGAACCCAAATTATATTAGACTACGATTCAATAAATTCGTTATATTATGTTCTAGGTCCTATAATTATGTTTTCATGTCGATATTGGTATAATTTTTCGATCAAAATTAAAATCGATTGTTTGTTTTGAATTTTGAGTAAATAATTTATTTTGTTGTGGTTATGTTTAATTACAGAACATTTGTAGAGTTTTGTTATGGGTTTATTCAATGATGACCAATACCTATATTTACAATATTTATCTTAACTGACCCACGGTTCAACTGCTAAATTATGTGAGTGTTGATTAAAAACTTCTCTGACATAATGTCAGTTTTTAATGGGTTTATTTATTTTACTATTTCCGTTTCATTTCCATTATTATTTTAACAGGCTACGTCTGTAGGTGTATTTCTCAATAATAAAATAAGAATAAATTTAATGTCTTTTTCGTTGTGTTATCATTACTTCCAGAATCCTACATCTTAACAGATGTACATGTCAGTAATTTGATGCAATAGTTTTTTTTATGCTATCCATGATACAAACAGAACAAATTAATGCTATCCATGATACAAACAGAAATAATTTTAGAAGAAAAGCGTACGCTGAATGCGTTAAAACAAACCTTACACGTTTCCAACGCTCGTAACAAACCAAACTTGCTATCTCCGAAATACAACACGGTATCTAGTAACGTATAATCGGAACGCGAGCCGCCCACATTTATAACGGCCCTTTGTGGAACGAACAGGGTTAGGAGTGTTCGAGTGACATATTGACGAAGAGTTGCCTGATTCGTCCGGCCCTCGAGTATCGATTTACGAACAATAGACAGACTCCGCTCTCTATGGGACTGGGTGATCAGATCGTTAATAGAATTATCTGTTTGCGTAAAAGTTTAAGAATGTTGCGGGAGGTATTTTTTGTATTAGGCGGCTACTTGGGTTTCGATTAAATAACATAATGTTGCTGAATAATCCGAATCTGCGACGACCGACGGCTGAAAACTCGACAGAAATTATAAGTTTGATTCGAGTTTTTATCTATTTACATACTGTTAATACATATAAACGGCCATAACTCTAGATCTAAGAGAATTAATCACGCCTGTTGATTTAGCTTCTACTTTGGAAAAGTTGAAATTGTTATTTTCCCATGAGAATTTAAACTCGAAATCATTGACTACAGACTCTGTATAACACAAGGCTTGCATTATCATAAAATAAGTTTTGCATAAAATTCTTAAAAGAAAAGGCAAAAATTGGTATTCACGAAAGTCGTTGAGCGCAGGCGAATCCCTTCAGAAGAATTTATAGAGATGCTTTGTTTAGCGATGATTTTGATTACTTGTAAAGCCAAAAGCTGCAGATACATACATTTATGTTGAAAAATCATCACTAAAGATAAAGTAATCTCAATCAGCCATAACTCAGTTCGTTCAAGTTTATAAAATTCCTTAATAACCCATAAAAGGGACGTTCCGGCTAATACGAAATAGCGCATTACCAAATTACTCGTCAATTACGTGGCTTATAGGCCAAGTTTTAAATTTGCATTAATTTACACAATTCGCCCGT